AATAATTTATTTTTGTTTAATAATATAACATTTTATAAAGATAATAATTAAGTATTCTGTTAGAAATCAATGATTATCCTAATTATATTTTAGATTTTTTATATTTAAAATGAGATGTTTATCATGTATGTGATTGTATTTATCTACAATTAGTTACACAAATTCAGATATGGGATAAAATCAGATAGAGATGAACGAATTTAAGAGTTTTTAAGAGTTTTAGTCAAATGTTTTATAATATAGTATATATATATATATATATATATATATATGATGGTGAATTATGATTCATATTTTTGTGTTTTTGAAATTTTTATTTTTTTAAAAAAGTAAAATAAACGTGGTCATAAGATATTAAAAATGAAGTAAATCCCATCCCACAAAACAATGTTTAATTGCATGAAAATGTGTATCAAAGAAATAAGATTTCTAGAAGTTGCTCTCACAAATTCCTATCATATAACCGTTACGATATATACATACTTGAATTATATTTACTTTTTTCTATTTCTACCTATTTATTACACATCTCAAATTCCTCTCTACACAGTACTCTCTCTCTCTCTCTCTCTCTCTCTCTCTCTCCATATATATTATATATATTAAAAGAAAGAAATATAGGTACATAGAATACATTGTATTTAAATGGGAATCTGGGTGACACGTGAGTGAGCATTTGGGAACACATACATGGTTTCAAAGTTTTTGTCGTGGTGGGTTGTGTAGATTTAAGGAAAGCTTTGAAGAACATCATCTCATTCATCAATGGGGTTTCTTCTTGTTGCTGCTACCAATATCCTCGTCTTTCTCTCTCTTGGTTTTGTTGTTGCAGACCAACCCCTCTACGATTACTCTGCCTACACTCAGGTTCACATTTCATTATTTTCATCTTTTTTACTTTTATAAATTATTTGTTAAAACATCCATCCATACATCTGATGTTAGTGTAAAGTGGAAGCCGAGGATCCTCTGTATAACGGTGGGATCCTAAAAGACGTAGCTACAACTATGGAATCCATTGATGATGGTGATGGAACCTTCACCTCATGGCCTGCTTTCGTCTTGCCAAATCTCACTCCCCACACATTCTATACTTTCTCCAGTTAAGTTTTTCTTCTACAAACTAATTTCCTCCTATATCTATATATTAGTTATTGAGTCATAAACCTTTTGCTTTTTCTGTTGGTAGGTTGGATCAAGATCCATGGTTCGGATTCATCCTTGATTACCGCAAGACTTGTGAACGGGAATTCATCGGGAAAATGCGTCGGAACGGTTCTTAGCCGTCACGATTGTTGGTCATTCCTCAAGGGTGGATTTTTCTTTAATTCTGAGTCGCATCCTTCCCTAATTTACTTTCAGGTTTGGATTCCATCCACTTCCCTACTCAATTTGATTCGTATCCATAAACCTGTCATTTTTCATCTATAATATGTTATTTCCTGGCTCCTGCTGTAGAATTCTGACAACATGGATATTACCATAACCATTTCTAGTGCATCATTACAACCCTTTACCAAAGAGCAATGGTCATTTCAACAAAACTACAAGATCAATACAGTAAGTTCATCTCTGTGTAACAGTATTAGGTGAATGTGAACCCCTATCAACCCACATATCATTGGTTCAGGAACGGAAACGTGCCGTCACGATTCACGTGTCAGATAAACAAGGTGCTAGATTGCAAGGGGCGGCGGTTCGTGTCGAGCAAGTTGCCAAAGATTTTCCCTTTGGCTCTGCTATAAACAATTTCATCATCGGAAATGTACCTTATCAAGTACGTTTTTACAACACTACTTATCAGCTTCATTAATTAATGATAGCACAGGTCTTGAGTTTTTCCGTATTTTCTCACTTAGCAATGGTTCGTGGAGCGGTTTAACGCAGCTGTATTTGAGAACGAGCTTAAGTGGGCAGCAACCGAGCCAGAACAAGGGGTTTACAACTATACATTTGCCGATAAAATGCTAGATTTCGTTCGGGCTAACCAGATTGTGGCCAGAGGTCATAACATCTTCTGGGAGGACCCAAAATACCTCCCGCCGTGGGTGCTAAACCTGACCAGTCCCGAGCTAGAGTTAGCTGTGAAACGGAGAATCAAGAGCCTGATGACAAGGTACAGAGACGAATTCGTCCATTGGGATGTTAGCAACGAGTTTCTTCATTTCAATTTCTACGAAGAGAAACTCGGGGAAAACGCCACTTACGAATTCTTCAAAGCTGCGCATGAGGCCGACCCCTTAGCGACGCTTTTCATGAACGATTTTAATGTGGTGGAGAGCTGCAGAGATGTTAAATCTACGGTGGACACTTATATTTCGAAAATCCGCGAATTGAGGAGACACGGAGTGTGGATGGACGGGATCGGCTTGGAGAGTCACTTTGATGAGCCAAACCTTCCACTAATGCGAGCCATTCTCGACAAATTTGCAACTTTACAGATTCCGATTTGGCTTACGGAGGTCGATATCACGAATCAATTGGACCAAGAAACACAGGCAAGTTACTTGGAAGACGTGTTAAGAGAAGGGTTTTCGCACCCTTGGGTGAATGGAATAATGTTGTGGTCGGCGTTGAAGCAGAACGGAAAGTGTTATCAAATGTGTCTAACGGATACGAATTTCAATAATCTTCCGGCGGGTGATGTCGTGGACAAGCTTCTAAAAGAATGGGAAACCGGGGTTATGAAGAGCCAAACCGACGAACATGGTGCTTTTAGCTTTTACGGGTTCTTAGGGGAGTACAGGGTGAGTGCTAGTTTTGGTGGCAAAACCACCAACTCCACATTTTCAGTTAGTAGAAGTGATGAAACACGACATTTTAGTATTCAGATATGAATTCGCATCCTATATATTGTGGTAATCTGTACAATGCATTAGGATTTGTTTCTTCAAATTGTTTCATTAATTTGTTATGTTTTTACAAATTGTCAAAGAAATAAGGGAAGTTCCGTTTCAATTGCTAACTGCCTCTATTCTATTCATACCGCCTCCTATATAGTTATATGAGTGAGGAAGGAGGTAAGAAATAAGGTGGTATGTGAGTGATGAGGGGCCGAGGAGCGTATGTATAACAACCCTCCAACTCCCCCTGAAGAATAAGCGAACGTGCCAACTTTATTTAGAGATGCCTCGAGAATATCTTGAGTCGAATGCCTTAAACTGTACCGCAAGAATCACTACTTTGGTTTCCTTTCTTCGACTTGGCCAAGCATAAGGTAGGAAGTGGATGAGAATACCGCTCCAAGTGGAGCACACCACAAGGAAGTGGGCATGCTACACTTCAACAAAATTGGCCTCTAGAGCGTCCTAATAAAATACTTTACAAAACTTAAGTTTATGGTACCAAACTATAAAACGTCATATCCAAAAGCATGCAATAGATTTATAGGATATTTTTGGACGATTTAATAAGTTTTTTATGACGCTTCCAGAATAAGTTGGGTATTATTTATTTTATATGACATTTTTAAAATTAGTGTCCGTTTAGCTATTTTATATGACACTTTTGAGAAACGTCTTATAAAGTCATTTTTTGTAGGACACTTTTTTTTAAACAAATAGCTAATACAACACTTTATTTTAATAACTTTCTAAAAAACTTGTTGAAACTCCTAAAAACGTCCTACAAACCTATTGTAATACTTTAGAAAGAACGTTTTTTGTTTGATCCTATAAACTTAAGTCTTATAAAGTATTTTGAAATCTTGCCTTCATGAACAACATTCTTGAACCCTTGCGACAACGGTTTGACTTGATCGAGAATGTCTGTCTTGATTTGTTTTTAGTTTCGTGGACCACTAATCCGGAAGCCGCTCGATCCCGAAGCACTGTCTCGACATAGACTTGTTGTAGAGGGTGTACCTTCCATCTTAGGCAAACCTCGTTGATAGGATCCCTATCCTTATCCTTGCCCACTTAAAGACATACATGTCTTGCTTCTATATAATATCAAGATATTGTATTGAATTCTATGTTTTCAAAACTGAATACATGGGAGGCTATATAGACGATATACAACAATGCAAATGAGTAATTACAGGAGCTATCTAAGGAGCTAAAGTAGGAACAATATTTTGACAATAATGACCATTCAAGGGCATTAAATAAAATAATTCAAATGGTTTGACCAATTGTTCTATTGGTCGTAATACACCCCCGCAAGATGGGAATCCATCGGATACTCCAATCTTGGAGCGAAGACGGACGAATGAGCTACAACTGAGAGGCATTGTGAGTGCGTCCGCAAGTTGATCTGCTGAGTTGATATGAAGAACTTTCAACTAACCGTCCACTACCTGTAAGTAAATGTTGGACCCAAGAGATTTCAGCTGCAGCATTTGCTAAGGCTTTGTACTCCGCCTCTATGGAAGATCGGGAGACAGATTTCTGACGTGCTGGTCGCCATGAGATAATGTTTGAGCCCAAATAAAGGATTTAAGCAGTGGTTGAGCGACCACTAGTGGAGACCCCTCCTCAATCTGAATCTGAGAATGCTTTGAGGTCAAGTGAAGAACCACGCTTAAGATATAGGACATGATGAATTGTGCCTTTTAGGTAAGGAAGAACTCGTTTTAATGCCTGCCACTGAAGTTGGGATAGGGAGTGCATAAACTAGGAAAGTCGATTCACAGCAAAGGAGACATCTAGTCTCGTGAAAGCCAAATATTGGAAAGAGCCCACTAACTTCCGGTAAGTTGTAGGATCAACACTTGGGGACCCGTACATGGGAGTGAGAACAGTTGAAGAGTTGAGAGGAGTAGCAACCTCTTTTGCACCATCCATATTGAACTGGTTTAGGATACCTTGAATGTTATGATGTTGGGAGAGGAAAAGACCTTGTTGGGTAGGAGTTACTTCAATACCAAGGAAGTGATGGAGGGGACCTAAGTCTTTGATGGAGAACCGCTTGGCTAAAGAGTGAGTGAATTGGTTTAGAAAGTCGGTATTGTTGCCTGTGAGTACAATGTCATCGACATAGACCATAAAGAAGCACAAAATGTTGGCATGATTGTAGATAAATAGAGAGGCATCAGCCCTTGACTTCCTAAACCATAAGTATGAAGAAAGGATGTGAGTTCCATGTACCATGCTTTCGGTGCTTGTTTAAGTCCATAGAGAGACTTTCTAAGTTTGCATATATGGTGTGGGAATTAGGGATGAATGAATCCGGGTGGTTTAGTCATGAAGAATTCTTCATATAGAGTTCCATGAAGAAAGGCATTATTCACGTCAAGTTGTCGTAAGGGCCAACTTTGAGAGAGAGCAATAGAGAGTATGACTCGAATAGTGACTGTTTTTGTTATTGGACTGAATGTGTCAAAATAATCATTCCCATATTGTTGAAGGAATCCTTTGGCAACTAAACGAGCTTTGTATTTTGAAATAGTACCATCAGGATTCCTTTTGACCTGGAATACCATTTGCACCCAATTGGAGTGTGAGAAGCTCATGGAACTAATTCCCAAGTTCTGTTTTGCATGAGGGCATTGAACTCTTAATCCATGGTATGTTGCCACTTGGGATCTTTGAGAGCTTGAGTATGAGTGTTAGGTTCAATTGTGGAAGGAATGGGATGAAGGGTGGTGGAGTTGATGAAAGAGGAATTGAAGTATTTTAGGTTTTTATTTCTGGTTCGTTGTGGCTGAGGTGAGGCGGGTGGAGAGATGGAATTATCATCACGAGAAGTGGAGACGGTTGGGGTGGGACACAAATTGGTGAGAGCTGAAAAAAGACTGGATGGGATGGTGATGCTGGATGTGGTATTTCTTATGGCAAGACAGGAAGTGTAGGGGTCGCATGAGATGAGGATATGTTTGATTAATCTGTTGGTGATGAGGAGTTTGGTGCATGAGCGGTTAGTGGGGTTTTGAAGAAATCATCGACAGTGGGCAAGGTGAGGGAGGAGGAAGAATGGGAAGGAAAATGAGATTCAATAAACAAAACATAACGAGAGTGATATTGGCGACGGGTGGTATGTCAAAGCATTTGTAAGCAGATTTAGAGGTGGAGTAACCTAGGAAAAGACATGGGTTTGATCGCGGTTGTAGCTTGGAGTTGGTGTACGACCTTAGCCATGGATAGCAAAGATAACCAAAGGGTTTGAGTTTGGTGGAGTTTGGTGTTTGTGAAAGAGACGTTGAAATGGACTTTGGTTGTTGAGGATGGCTATGGAAAGTCTGTTTATAAGATAGACAGCGGTTTAGAAGGCATGAGACCAAAAGGTAAGTGGCAATTTGGCATAATGGAGAAGAGCAAGTCCCGTCTCAACCACATGCCGATGTCGTCGTTCGACGACACCGTTCTGTTCAGGAGTGTGAGGTGGGGTGGTGAAGTGAGAGATGCCATGATATTCATCGCCATTGTCAAGGAAGATTGACACAATTGGTATTTGGAAGAACTTCTCAACAAGGAGTTTGAATTGGGGAAATAGTGTGGCAACATCAGATTTCCGTTTCATAAGGTAGAGCCAAACATATTTCGAGTAGTAATCTAACAAAATGACGTAATAAACGAAATCGTCAATGGAAGTTTTAACAGGACCCCACATATCATAATATATTAATTGAAGTGATTTTGTAACAACGAATAAATTTGGACCAAAAGGTAGCTTGTGACTTTTATTGATTGAACAAGAAGAACAATGTATATAATCAGAGATTTACTTAGAACTGAGACCTAAGTTTGAGACAAGAGCCTTGAATACTTTGATAGATGGATGGCCTAATTTGTGGTGCTATCCAAGTGGAGAGACTTTGGTGGTGGCATTGAGTTGCAATGTGGATGGGAGGTTAGCATAGTAAACGTCTTCAAGGTTCTCCCCTCGCATAACACGCGCCCCCATGCAAAGATCCTTCACAAAAAAATGAGAGGGAAAAAATTCAACAGAAACCCGATTAGTCTTGCACAGTTTAGCAACGGATATAAGGTTTTGATAACACATAACACATTTGGTAAAAATAAGGTTTTGAGTGATGTGTTAATGTGTTTAAAGCCAACATGAGATATTTTCAGACCTTTACCATCACCAAGTATTATCTCATCAGCTGCCCCGTATTAAGAGATGTTATGAAGTGTGGACCGATCAGAGGTGACGTGATTTGAGGCGCCACTGTCAAATAACCAGGTTGGAGAAATAAGCGCTGATCCAGATGTTGTGACATTTGATGTAGGAGTTGCTGAAGCGGGGTTACTGATGGTAATGTTGTTGTCTCTCAAAAATCTTGATAGTTTTCGACAGTCCTGAGTCTGATGCCCGAGAATACTACAGAATTGGCAGAAGCTACTGGTGCGCTTTTGCCAGCCTCCATGTGGGTGAGGTGTTGTCCAAGATGAGCGACCTGTTCCACTATTATTGTGTTCGCCACCTCTATGTGGGCCAGAGATTTTAGATAGGTACCAGTATTTATGTTGTCCTTGTTGGCGAGTGGTATAATTAGCAGTAGCCAAAATTGGTTCAGGGTTGAGTGTAGCTTCTTTTAGTGCTCCTTCAAAATCACTTAATTTGTCAAAGAGTTCTGGGTAAGATAGCGGATTTTCTCGAACCACTATGGCAACCACAATGGTGTTGTGGTCGTCACTTAATTGAGATAAGATGTGAACATGCAGATCTTCCTCGGCTATAGGGTTTTGTGCGAGGGCAAGATCATCTGCAATCGAGCGCATATCTTGGAGATATTCAGAAATAGTGCAATTACCTTTGGGGTTTTTAACCATTTTGGATTTTAGTGAGATTATTCGGGAACGTGAAGCACTGGCAAAGCTTGAGGTTAACTGTTCCTAGGCATCTTTGGCAGTAGTAGCGAAGAGAGAAGAGGTTGAATGGTTTCCTAGCAGCTTCCAAGAATCACGCTGATGATGATTTGATCTTGGCGATACCATGGAAGGAATTGTGGGTTCTGTTTTTCACCGTCTTTGTCTGATATGAGGCGTGTAGGCTGAGTGCTTGTGCCCGAGATGAAGGATTCAAGTTCGAGACCAATCAACGTTGATTCGACTTGTTTAAGCCACACTGGAAAATTATTGGATGCTAATTTGATTGGAAAGTGGGTAGCGGTTGTGATTTGGACGCCATTTTTAGGGTTTGAAGGCTCACGAAGAGGTTGATTGAAGGTGATGAAAGAATTGGTTATAAGGGCTTGGATCGGCTCTTTAGAGCAAAAGTAAGCTCTTATACCATATATGATATCAAGATATTGTATTGAATTCTATATTTCAAAACTGAATACATGGGAGGCTATATAGACAATATACAACGATGGAAATGAGTAATTACAGGAGCTATCTAAGGAGCAAAAGTAAGAACAATATTTTGATAATAATGACCACTCAAGGGCATTAAATAAAATAATTCAAATGGTTTGACCAATTGTACTATTGGTCGTAATAGCTTCCCCCTAGATATGGATACAGGAACCAATTGAGAGAATAAGAAGAGATAGAAAAGAATAGAGAGAGGGGAAATTCTGTATTATTTTGATGCCTTCTTACAATCAAGAAGCTAGTTCAGTTACAAGAAACTCTCTAATGTGGAAGCATTCCTTGTTCCATCTTCATCATGTTTTATCATCCCTTCCTTGAATTTCAACAGCAAACAATTGTGACTCCTTGAATTGACACTTATGTTGGCTATCATAAGCCTCATCACATAAATAGCATAAGCCTTTCGCAATTTTTTCGGCTCTTAACATTCTTGATAGTTTAGGTTGAAACTTTGCCAAAGGAATCGACATTGTTTTTGTCGGAAGGGTTGGTAGTAGAGGCCTTTGAATGTTACTTGAAGGAGTCGGTAGTGCTAGTAGAGGTGGTTGACTGCTATCAGTCATAGGTACTTCTTGGGGGGTTTTCGGTGAAATGGATTTATCAGTTTCTAGGTCTAAATTAATAAAACTCAGAGATTCTTCTTGCAATCTTGCAAACTCTACAACACATGCCGATGAAGTAGGCCTGAAAGCCCTCACAAAAGGTTTGACAGCCAATTTCAAAGCCCTAATAAAGTTGTCCACTACTCCGCTAATAGAGTCTAATGAGTTGAAAAAGGAAACAGGAATACAAGAAGATAACCTGGTCTACGAAAATGATTCCTAATAATAAGGAACTTATTTGACCCACTAATAACARTAAAATACTAAGTCAAAACCCAACAGGAAAATTCTTTATTATTTCGATACAAGAATATAACTCCTATTTATGTTTAGTATCCATTAGAGGCGTGGCATGGGCCACATGTGACGAGGTCCAGGTTTCTCATGTCAGGTCGCCTTATCTTTGGCATTGTTTCGTAGCTAGAGGCTAGAGAGTCCGTTAAGCCTTTGGATTATCATGTTGGATGAATTAAACCTACATCCTTAAGGTATTCAGATTGAGAGGTTATAATTTGTATACAAGAAAACAAAAACTAAGACTCTTGAGATATCTAACAATTAGTAGTCAAATTAAGCCATCAAAAGAACAAGTTTAAGGAAAACATCCTTGTCTTTTTCAATACTTATAGATTAATTTTCTTAAATGAATTAATTACTTGATCCTTAAACTGTTTGTTTTGAGTTTTTTCTTCCTTATAACGTTTCTCCCATTAACGATTTCAGTTCAAGAGAAAACATGAAAGATCATCAACGACTAGTTTTCGTTAAAATGTTGCTTTTGTTTCTGGTCGTATCATCATCAGCACCAATCGAAGGTCTCAGCTCCTTCCTTGATCCTAGCTAGTGTGTGTATATATATATATATATATATATATATATATATATTGTTCATTGCAAATAAAACTGACCAGCTGGTGATCTATCGTTGGTTTTAATTCATTCTTCTTCTTGTAGATGGGCTGTCTTATGATTACTCAGGCTACACCCTGGTAAGTTTTAAGCCCACGCATGTTTAATTTGGTTGCAAAGTGTTTTGGCCCATCTTTTTTTTTCATTCTGATCAGTGCAAGAATGAACCCGAAGATCCACTTTACAATGGTGGAATCATCATTAATCATAATCAATCACAACCCGATAAGGTTTCTTCTACGTTGGTGTTGCCAAATCTCTCAGGCAACACAATCTACTCATTCTCCAGTTGAGTTGCCTTTGTACATAAACAGTTTTTTAATGTAAATCTGTTGTTTTCATGTGAAAAAACTTCTACTTGATCCTTGTTTATTTGATAGGTTGGGTAAAGATAAGTGGCTCCAATGGGACAGCAATCAAGGCAAGCCTAACATTAGACAACGATACGCACATGTGTATTGGAAATGTCGTAGCTAAAAGCGAATGTTGGTCGTTTCTCAAGGGCGGATTTGTACTCGATTCACCCTCAGACCATGCCGTCGTCTATTTTCTGGTAAACCCATCTCAGATTCTAAAATGGTACCTTAGTTAATTTGTAATATTACTTCTCATCTACTTGTAATCGCGTTGGTGTTTCTTGCAGGATTCATATGGGAAAAGGATCAACGTAACGCTTACAAGTGCTTCTTTGCAACCTTTCACGCACCAACAATGGCAAAACAATCAAGATAACTCAATTGACAAAGTAAAAACAATCCTACAAAACCTCGACAGCTTTTCAAATCTTTTTAGAGCCTATAGTAATCTATACCTTCTATTTTAGGAAAGAAAGCGTGCTGTCACGATCCATGTCTCGGATGTAGATGGGAAAATAATTCAAGGAGCTAGGATCATAGTCGAGCAAACTTCTAGGAATTTCCCTTTCGGTTCAGCAATATCGAAGGCCATTCTAGGAAACTTACCGTATCAGGTAAAATTATTTGAACGCGGCACAATACTAGGTTTATAGAAACGTTTAAGCGTCCTAATTAATAGAATGTTTTATAGGACCAAACAATAAAGCATCTTATAGAACGATTTTGGGCGTTTTAACAAGTTTTTAGAGCTTAAAATTATGTGTCGTATTAGTTATTTTATACGACAATATTCAAAAGATGTCCTATAAAAAAATGGATAAAGCGTCCTATAAATTAATAGTTGATGCAACACTTTATTTTAAAAGCAACCTAAAAAAAACTTGTTAAAACGCCTAAAAGCGTCCTATAAACCTATAGTGACACTTTGAGATATAACGTTTTATAGTTTGGTCCTATAAATTTAAGTCCTATAAAGTATAAACTATACTATTATGTTTAAGCATCCTATAAACCCAATTTTGTTACAGAGAGGTTACTGAAATAACAAACCCCATATCCTGATGAAACAAGTTATTTTTCGTGTTATGGTCATTAATTAGTTTTTGTGAAATCTTCAGTAGAAATGGTTCCTAGAAAGATTCAATGCAGCAGTGTTTGAAAACGAGCTAAAATGGTGTGCAACTGAGCCTGAACAAGGGAGGGTCAACTACACCATACCTGATCTGATGCTAGATTTCGTTAGAGCTAACCAGATTACGGTTAGAGGGCATAACATATTCTGGGAGGATCCGATGTATATCCCCTCGTGGGTCCAGAACCTAACAGGTGGTGCACTAGATTCAGCGGTCAAGTCTCGAATACAAGGCTTAATGACTCACTACAAGAACCAATTCGTCCATTGGGATGTTTCTAACGAGATGTTACACTATGACTTCTATGAGCAACGATTAGGGCAGAATGCGTCCATGGAAATGTTCGAGCTAGCCCATACAACAGACCCGTTGGCCATGTTGTTTATGAATGATTTTAATGTAGTGGAGACGTGTGATGATCTGAACTCAAGTGCCACTGCGTATGCCGCTAGGATGAAGGAGGTGGAGGAGGGTGGGGTTACGATGGATGGTGTTGGCTTAGAAGGCCATTTTATAACCCCAAACCCTCCATTGATTAGAGGTGTATTAGACCAGCTTGCTGCATTGCAACTTCCCATTTGGCTTACAGAAGTTGATATCAGCAACACCCTAGATCCAGAAACTCAGGTCAGTAACCAAGCCATTTGGCCTATAAATTCAGTCTTCCTTTTCACAACTGTTTTCTAGTAGACTGTTTTATAGGACTTAAATTTATATAACCAAACAATTGCAATTGTTATGTAAAAGTGTTACATCCTACAAACTTAACCTTGTTTATGGGAACAAACTAGTTATTTAGTTGTTGAAGGAGATAGATTTTGATTTTGTTGGTAGGGGAAGTACTTGGAGATAGTGTTGAGAGAAGTATACTCACATCCATCAGTGGATGGGATAATGCTATGGACAGCAATGGATCCAATGGGTTGCTACCAAATGTGTTTAACAGATGCCAATTTTCAAAATCTACCAGCTGGGGATGTTGTGGACAGATTAATCTTCAAAGAATGGTCAACAGCGGTGGTCAATGGTGAAAGTGATGAAGATGGGACTTTGAGCTTTGATGGGTTCTTGGGTGAGTATGTGGTTAATGTTGACTTTGGAAACAAGACTTCAAACTCAACATTCTTCATTTCCAAAGGTGATGAAACAATCCATTTTAGTATTCAGTTGTAGAAAAACTTCATCTTTATAGTTGAGATCTTGTTGTTGGACAATTAATGGGAATTATTTGATAAAATATTCATATCTAGTGTAACCTGCACATATAGCCATATGTGGCTCGTTTGAAGTGGCGAAGGCCTATGCTACAGTAAGGGGAAAAAAGTATGTTTTGACCGTGTAAGTTATATACAACATTACATGTGATATGTATAAATGATGAATTACGTTTTCAAAGACATCTAATCTTGTACATTTTAAATGTGTTTTGATGCATGTCACATGTGATTCTGTTTTTTCATTATTTTTCTTTTTCAATGTTTCATTTGAATCATTATTTTTCATCGCATATGATTAGCAAATCACATATGATTAGGAAATCGTTTTAAAAGAAAATTTGTGAATCACATATGATTTTGACGAAAATTGTAATTTTTAAAATATATTGCTTTAAATAGAAAAATGAATTGTTTAAATGAAAATTAAATACGTTTTTTTTAAATGCATTAAATATATAATATTTTTATATAAAAAATTGAATCACAAATATAGTAAAAATAAAAATCTTAAATAAATACTTTAAATAACTTTTATATAATCAAATTACTTTTATACTTCTAATTATTTATTTTCATTGAGATGAAATTATTTTTTTATTTTTTAAATAAGTATATTTTCGTTTGATAAACATATATATATATACACACTATATTATAAAACATTTGATAAAAACTTTTAAAAATTATTTTTTATACATACAACACTGTGTATTGATGCATATTACTTAAAAGGGCAAAATGCACAAAATAGCAATCTACTTTTATAATTTTTTTTATTATAGCATTGTACTTTCAGTTTTTCTTATTACAGCAATGTACTTTCAAACTATTTTATATTAGGACATTGTACTTTGAAAATATTTACCCATTATAGCATTGGGTAACCTTTTGATTTAAATTACTCATTATACTAGGTTTTTATGCCACCTCATTGTCCATGTAGGCTGTCCACATATACTATAGTGATGTGACTTTCTTACTACATTATTATACTTTCAAAATTATTTTATTATAACATATACTAGTTCTTATTAAACACTGTATTTTTAATTTTAATATTTAGATATTTTATATGTTATTTAATAAATGTATTAAATGAATTAAAAAAATTATAAATTATTCATT